CGCCCCGCTTCCATCCCGTCTGCTTCTACTTATCCAGAGGGCCAACGCTTTCAGTTCTCATGGCAGACCCAGGCAACTCTAGTCAACAAACTACCATCGCTGGGGAGATATCACAGTTCGGAAGAAGGACACGAGTGAGCTCTGCGCCATGAATTGGCAGCTGAGCTTTTGAAAAACGATCCCCGGGAGATGGAATGCAGGCCGTTCCTTGAAAACATTCGGAACAAAGGAAGACAAGATGAGAAAGGGTGGAGAAACAGAGAACAATAACCCATCATTAGCCACCCAGGCTGAGTCCTGCCCTTGAAAGCCAGTTGTGCAGGTTCTGATGGATATAACGAAATGCATTCCAGGGAACTGGGGTGGTTTCTTCTCAGATGATGGAGTTGAGGCTGGTGCTAAAGATACCAGCCAACCACAGGTCAAAAAGGGGAATGTTCTTAACAGTAAGGTGGTCATCCAAGCAGACGTCGAGGGAGATTCTTAATCAACCAAGTTGTGGTTGTCCCAAAGGTGTTGGGTTTTTTTCCCCAAAAGGCAACTGTGCTTTGTTTTTCCTTGAAGACGTTTTGCTTCTCATCCAAGAAGCTTCTTCAGCTCTGATTGGAAGGTGGGGAATGGCCTTCCAAGAAAAACCAAGGAAGTCCAGTTGCCTCTTGAAAAAGCAACCATGACCTAGATGACTGAGAATCTCCATAGATATCCAAGAAGCTTCTTCAGTTCTGGGTGGACTATTCAGTTCTTCAGGTTTAAGTCCAGAGGTTCTTCAAGTCATCTGATTTCTCCTTCTGCCCAGATTAGGTCATTGTTCTTCCCATGTCAGCTCACCTGATGTTCATTACTCCATCTTGAGACTCCTTATCTCATCTTTTAATTACAGATAAGGCAAAGAATTCCTCATTTCCATTTCATTTCCCCCCCTCCCTACCCAACTCATTGAATAGGATAATATTTGGGTACTATCTACCAATGTTTATCTTGACCTGGCATACTAAACTGGGTTAAGGAAGGGTTAGTGTGTGGGATAAATGCCATAAACCTAACCCGTTTTTGGCACGTGAGAAGGATAATTTTAGTTTCCAACAGCTCAAGAGAGTTTTGGAGTTAAACTAAGGTCCCTGTGATGGAAGAGAGGGTTAAAAAAAAGGTTAACGCCATCTCAAAAACCATAGGTGATTTGTACTTCCCAGAATACTCTAACTTTCCTTCTAATCATGGACGCCCAAAGTTGGTTACGTTATCAGTCATGATGTCTCTTTAAGAATCAACGACAGTTTGTTCTTGGTTGTTTCAGATCAAGATCAAACCAATCTGACTGAGTCAACCTGAGTATCAAGGTTGACTTCATTTCCGCCACTCTCCCAGTTAGCCACCAGAACGAAACTGGGGGTGAACCTTCTGACTATGTTCTGACTCCTCTTTAATATCCTCTTGATTAGAGGAGGAGGAGAAGAGAAGGAGGCTCTAGAACAGAAAAATCTGGGTTAATGTAACTTTGGAATGTTTTGGGGTGGGTGGATTTCCAATACCACTCTGTTTGTACTCATTCCCTACCAACCATCATTACATCCTTGGAGAGCCATGGACAAAACAGCCACCGTGACAGAATGCCTAGAGAGGCCTTCTTTTGAGAGGGAGTGCTCTCTAGGATTTCAACTTGAACTCTAGAGATGTTACAGAATGCCATGCTTGGTTCTTTTCTTTATATTCAACTCAACATTAGATTAAGACCTTTCTATTTGGGCACTTGAATATGTCTTTCTTTCATTCACGTGAGAGGTAGACAACTCAAGAAATGACAAAACGGAAATATAGGAGCCCTTATCTGTATCCTCTCAATTGGGTTGACTTCAGAGGACCAACAGCCCTTGCTAAGGATTCTCAAAGTAACAACGTCATTTCTAGGGATGCTAAGTATTTGGGGCACCCAAATACAAATTCACAGTGACTTCAAAAGCATCTGAACTCAACCACCTCAAAGGATCGTTGAGCCAGGATTTGGTTCTGTGCTTGCCAGAAGATCAAATTGCCTAAATGACTCAGCCACTGTGACACAACCCAACTGCAATCCTATAGGATGGTTTCAGAGGTTGAGAGCATTAAACATGATGTGGAAACATCAGGGTTCACCCAGTAACTAACTACTTGGGAGTAAGCCTTACACAAGTCTGATTAAAGGGCATAGCTTCTGTCCGGGATGCCAAAATGACTAGGGAAAGTGAGAAGTGAAAATTAAAAGGTTGTGTTCATTAGTTTTTTGGGGAAAAAAAATAGTTGCAGGGTTCCTGACGTCTTTTTGAAGAAGAGTACTATTAGGGAAACATTTTCACCTTTTAGGAAGTTGAGGTGACTGTCTTGTATGAGTTGGATGAGTAAAAAGGCCCAGGGATTAGCTCACAAGCCAGTTCTCTTTGTCAGAAGATAAAGTCATGCCCCATCTTATTCCTTTTCCCAAGTTATCCCAAGTTTTGGGGTGACCTTCTCAAGGTGCTGATGGAATCAAGAAGGGTGTACTCATGGTGTCTTCATGTCTTGAAGGGGTCTAGAAGGGCTTTCTATCATGGATCCTGAAGGTTAAGATCAGGATATCTAGATGACATATAAGGTCCTTCAACACTAGCTAATTCTATTCCTACAACATGCCGTAAGGTAAGTTAAGACAATGATGTAGTGAGTTGCTAGTCCTTTATACAACTTCATGATGGAGTAGATACCTTACCGTAGTTCTCCCTGGTCCTAAGCCATCCTTCATCCATCAGGCCTCCCTCTACCAAGAACCTCAACTGGAAGTGGCTAAAAATCACCAGACAGACTTCAATCTTGTGGAAATCTTAGAAAAAAGATGAATACATGTCAGAAAGAACCAGAGAGGGAAACGACTTCACAAAACACTCAGAAGCAACCTTCATTCCGTGAAACTAAGCTGAGAAACTCTTCATCCAGCCATAGAGACATATAACCTAGACCAAAGCTCTTCAAAATTGGCAAGACTTGTGGACTTCAACTCCCAGAATTCCTGAGCTAACATGACTAGAGGAGGAATTCTGGAAGTTGAAGTCCACAAGTCTTCAAGTTTGAAGACCCCCTGACCTAGACAATTGCTGTCCCTCCACAGGTTGGTGCTGGACGCTATACGTTCCTATGGAGATTCTCAGTCATCCAGATCATGGTTGTTTCATTGAACTGTTGGTCAGAACTGAAGAAGCTTCTAAGATGAGAAGCCAAGGGTCTTCAAGGAAAAACAAAGTCCAGTTGCCTTTTGAAAAAGCATATTTGGGACATGATGGAAACCACATTCTTTCAGCCTTGTTTTGCTACATTTCTGAATTGCCCCTGACAGCTCATTGTTCAAGAGATATCCTTTATTTTCCCTCCCAGGTGTTAGCTGCAGGTTTTGTAATTGAAAATTAGCTCAGGATTGGAATGAGCAATGCTCCAGCTGAATTATTGCAAGATTTTTTTCCTGGGTTGGGCCCCTGACTTCATGATAATGGGGACACACCTCACCCCAGTTATTGTATGTGTCTCAGGCAGTTCCATAAATCAATATGAGCTGACGGTGTGGTTTTATGGACAGATGTTTATTTTTCCTTCGCCAGATAATATCTGTGGCATGTCTCCTCAGAACTGCCCCGTGCATAGATTAGACTAAACGGGGACAGTGGAGACGATTAAGCAGAACATGGAATGCAATTTTCAACGTGCTCATCCATCTTTTTAGTTGTATCTCACATGGCTTCTTGGTGCTGGTTGTGGAGGTAGATCATCAACCGTTGGGTGATCATGATGGATGATCATTAATAGTGGCTTTTCCGATTGATCTGAAGCTGTCCAAATGCCCTTGGCCAACCGTCTTAGAATAACTCTATAAATATATGTGTGACATTGAAACCCTGCAGAATTAAGAGGTTTTCTGAAGACAGTTGACCAACAATAGAAAACCAGACTTCATCTTAGTGCCAGTAAAAGAGACAATTGGGAGAGGAACAGGAGAGAAACCTTTAAGCTTTGAGTTCTTCAGTTTGGCTTTGTTCTGATCAGTGCACAAAATGAAGTCCATTATCACTTTTAAAATGTCCTCCTCCTAGCATAATGTCATTATTTTCCCTCGAAAAATACGCCCCAAGGTGCTAAGAGTGGACAATTCCTTCCACATTTGCTTCACCATAAGGAAAAAAATGTTCCTTCTGTCATAATCAGAAATAGCTGGTGGAAAAACAAAAGAAACATCGTTGGATCTAAGCTATGGTTTCTCCTGTAAGGAATCTGGAGTCTTCGTATTTTGGAGGAACGTTGGTAGAAACCAGCTTGGTAGAAATCACCTGGACCTTCTTCAGGTGTTTCACTGCAGACAATCAGCCTGGCAGTTTCCAAGGCCAAGATAAATAGACCTGCAAGACATTCCATGTGGAACGTTAGCATCAAGATGTTTGCTAAATTTAATTAATAAAACCAGTTATCTCAGGAGTTACCCTGGCAAGGAAGCAATGCTGATTGGTGATTTTGCCCAGAGGGGAAAAATCAGATTTGCTGATCCAGCATAGATACATTTTGAAATGTTTGCAGGATGGGACAAATGGAAGGGACAATCTCTCACACCCTTCTCTAGCAATATTCCAATGTTGGTTGCTGTCAAAGTTGGTTCGTTTTTTTTGGTCAGGGATGAAAAATCCGGCGTGCTTTGAAAAATTGAGTTGTAGATCTATGAGACACCCGAAGAGTAGGAACGGGCAGGAATAATGAATTAGTAGCCCCTGTCAATTGCAAGGTGGAGGGGTCTAAGAACTTCTCTCTGCCCAATGGGCCAATGAAGAAGATTGGCAGATATTGCATCAAACCATCTCAGGAAGCAAGGTTCAAGAAGGGAGTTGCCTTCTTAAAGACAGTGATTAATCCAGCCTTGTGAAAATTTAGAGTCATCCTGATTTGCACACACTATCAGAAGGGCTGGGCTTGGGGACCATATAAAAGTGTTTGACATTGGGGAACAACTTAATTCCTTCCAGCATTATTGCAGAGACTTGTCAGGTAAGACTTTCGGCTCTTAGCACTTCTCGATGGAGTTTTAATTTCATCCTGATAGTCTACATTTCTTGGGTGGCTTGGATAATCTCTTTCAGCTCCAGTGATGTTATTACTGCTGACACAAGCTTCTACTCATCTTGCTACTGGGGTTACTACTTGTGCTACTCCAGTGTGTAGTTACGATTCCTAGGACTGTAACTTTGGGTGGTAACTATGCATTAAGGGTAACTCATCCAACAGGGCGTTTATTATACGCAGGTGATTCATTCTGCATTTTGTGTTGTTTGATGGAAAGCTTTTTATGGGCTATCTTTGGAAGATGATATATAAATTGTAATAATCAGAATAAGAGTTGGAAGGGGCCTTGGAGGTCTTCTAGTCCAACCCCCTGCTCCAGCAGGAGATCCTATACCATTCCAGACCAATGGTTGTCCAATCTCTTCTTAAAAACTTCCAATGTTGGAGCAATCACAAGTTCTGGAGCAGATCCTTGGAGTTTCTTCACAGGCTTGGGAAGCTCTTAATGATAAAGCAATTTGATCATTCCTTTCTTGCAAATGTTTTGTGTCTGCGAAAAGGTGAGAACATCAAATGTGAAACCTTTGCTCTCTGATTTTCAGGTTTTTGGAGTGAAAATGGCATCTTCCCACAACCAGCATCAATGCAAGCAAGCTCCTACTTTGCCACCTGAAATCTGCAAGACAGGGCCATGCCCATCAGAGCAACAATGCAAGCAACCCCCGGTTGTGGAAGTGCCAAAACCTAAGCCATGTCCTCCACAGGAGCCTCCCTGCAAGGAGCCACCAGTGGTGGTCATCCCAACTCCGTGTCCAGAGCCTAAGCCATGTCCTCCACAGGAGCCTCCCTGCAAGGAGCCACCAGTCGTGGTCATCCCAACTCCGTGTCCAGAGCCTAAACCGTGTCCTCCAAAGGAGCCTCCATGCAAGGAACCTCCAGCTCCAACCCCATGTCCTCCAGAGGAGGAACAGTGTTGTCAACAGAAATCTCAATACAAGAAGCCACCAGTCATCCCGACTCCATGCCCAGAGCCCAAAAAACCACAAGAGCCTCAATGCGAGGAGCCACCAATTGTGGTCATCCCAACTCCGTGCCCAGAACCCAAACCGTGTTCTCCAAAAGAACCTCCATGCAAGGAACCACCAGCACCAACTCCATGTCGTCCTAAAGAACCAGAACCATGTCCTCCAAAGGAGCCAACTCCAGATTGTCAACAGAAGACTCAATGCAAGCAGCCTCCAGTGGTGGTCATCCCATCTCCAGAACCTGAACCGTGTCCTCCACAAGAACCTCCGTGCAAGGAGCCACCAGTCGTGGTCATCCCAACTCCGTGCCCAGAACCCAAACCGTGTCCTCCACAAGAACGTCCATGCAAGGAGCCACCAGTCGTGGTCATCCCGACTCCGTGCCCAGAACCCAAACCGTGTCCTCCTCAGGAGCCTCCATGCAAACAACCACCTCCCTGTGACCAGCAGCAGCAGAAGAAGCAGCCATGTTCATGGCCACCCCAGAATAAATGAGCGAGTCAGTGAAGAATCCATCTTTCCAAGTCTACATCTTCTCACGTCAAACATACCTCATCTTTGTATTCCTTTGAAATGCTTTAAGAAATTCTTCTAACATTGTAGAAGTCTCACCCACAGGGGAATTATAGCAAATGATAATCGATTGTCCATAAATGTGACCATGTTTCAATTTCCAACCAGAGTGGATTTTTCAACAGAGGTGCAATATAACCTCAAATTTCTTTTTCGGCATTTCCTGTTTATGTTAATCATACCATTTATTCTGCCTTAGCAGTCATATTCTTGATAATCTCGCTCATCTGTAAAGTTTGTAATTACTTCTTATTCTTTGTGCCATTTATATATATCCCCAAAGGAGGTGTGATAGGAGATTCGGTAGATTTTCCACACCAGCAAGTCTCAAGGAACACCGCAGGGTTGGGTGTCAGTGAAACGCAAAGCTAGCTTAGACCTCCAAAGGTGGACTTTGAGACATGAGCGAGAAGGTCCACCATGTTATTTAAGCTCCTCCCCTTCACTATCAGGAGAGACCTATTTTGTGACCACCCTATTCAGCTATTTGTCCCACCGTGTAGATAAGACAAATTCCTAAGTCAACTAAAATGCCAGATCTGTTCTCGGTAGAGAAGAAATTGTGGGTTGGTGGTTCTCCAGAGGTTGATAGACTATAAATGGACCCGTGGTCAATGGTCCTGTTGGCTAGGATGGGTAGGGATTAGACTATAAACCATATCCCAAGGGCCATACATTCTTCATCTTGGTTTGGAAAGACCAATGCCCCCTTAGATCCTGCAAGATCTCTTTTGAAAGGACCCCAAGTATCTTCTGGAATGGCAAGACCCATCAGAAGACACTGGGAAGCTCTTCAATCTTCAGGGAGATGATCAGGAGAAGCTCAACTTATCAGCTGCTAATGGAATATTGAGGAAAGAATGAAACTTTTCAGGGTTTCTCCATCAGAGTTAACACCCCCAAAATAATTAATCTTCAGAAAATCATGGTTTTCAAGTACAGTAATGCAAGTTTATTTTTATTTTTTTTAAAAAAAATTGGCTTGCAGGAAGCTGCTTTTGCCGGATGACACCCGTGTCATGATAGGGTTACAAGTGTGTCTCCTTTTCATGGGGTCAACATGTTATCCTACAGATGCTTGAGTCTGCACACTTCAGAATTTATCTTTAACCAACTTGTAAATAAATTGAATGAATAAAGGAAAAACAATGAATCTGTTGACTTTTCTTTTGAAAGTTCTATATCCAGTTTGGGTTAAAAAAAAAAAAAAAACAACGCATCCGTTTTGCTTCCTGGGAATTCAGTATTGACTTTAATTAAAAAGAAAAATACTAATTATACAGAGCAAGTAGAATGTCTTAAGGAATGTGGGGGGGTAAAACAGACAATGGTTGGACAGATGTAGATCAGTTAACGTCTTCCAGTTCAATTCCCAAACTAGGCCAACTGAGATTGGCCTCAACAAGATGACATACACAGATAAAACACCTCCCAGATGTGAGGGATAGTGCTCGTGCCAAGTCTTATGCAAGCAAATTTGAGATCTGCCAAATCTGAACTCATGCTAAGATGAAAAGTGGGTCATTTAGAAAATCAGTTCGGACATCCCATGTAGTCAGAGTCCACTATATGTAGGTCACATAGACTAGATTTAGAATTTGGAAGCACCTTGACTCTTATTTTGGACTAACTGAGAAGATGACCTCAAGCAAGTAGCAGAGACAGAGGTTTTGGGGGTGGCCATTTTATCTTCTCAGTTTTCTAATCACACCTCACTGATGGAAAGGAAGGTTTGTCACATGACGTTTCCTGGAGAACATCAACCACTGCTAGACAATCGTCTTGAGGTCAGGATTTCAGGACCATCAACAGAAGTGCAATTAGTGGGCCTTCCAAAGAGTGTAGAGTGACAAGGTTGAGACAATCCCACCACGCTCCAAAGGATACCAACCAGAGATGGGTATTCAGCAGGTTCTGACCAGTTCTGGAGAACCAGTAGCGGAAATTTTGAGTAGCTCAGAGAACCAGCAAATCCCACCTCTGACTGGAGATTTGACAGTATCCTTCCGCTGCCACATCCACCAAGCCACCCCCACGGAACTGGTAGTAAAAGGTTTTGAATCCCACCACTGATGCCAACCTCATGTTTCAGCAGAACCAGTTGATCAAGACTTAAGCTGGAGGACTTCTAGATGTGTCCACTTCAACTCCCAGAATTCCCCAGGCACCATGGCCCTCGAGAATTCTGGGAGTTGAACTCTCCGCAACAAGAGATTAGATGATCCACTTAGATCAAGAACAGAGAAGGCCTTCTGTGAAGCCACTGGTCTACTCAAGGTCTACCTACTCCAAGCAACCTTTTGGTGAATTAAGCTCTAAAGGCTGAAAGTAGAGATTTTCTTGGAAGCTGTTGTAACTTATCAGTGGAAAAAAAAATACTCTACTGATAAGAAGTCAATTAACAAGGGATATGCAAACAACAACAAAAAAACAAATTGCACCGTTGCTAAGAAAGAGGAGAGGGTTGTGTAAGCTGATGTGTATGCTGATGCAAACACAACATGGGATGCTGACAGTACACAATTAGTCTACCGCTTGTACACTGATTTATGCTAGATTATAAGAAAAGCAGATTTACTTCCCTGACGTGTTTATTCACTTTCATTCTTCCTGGTTCTTCCTCCAGCCTCCAATTTGTGGGAGCTGGCTAGTTCTTATCAGAATAAAAATATTCTTGCGTTCTTGGCTGAGCCAGCAGTCAGCAGTCTTGCAAAAATTCACATCAGGAAGTGTGTTGTTTTGTTTTTGTTTTTTAAAGACAGATCTCTGCGGGCTGAATTTGGGCAGGAAGAAAAGGAGAAAAGACATGAGGGCTCATTTGTGGAAGAAGGAAGAAAGTTAAGGAAGCGGCATGGAAAGGGGTTTAATACAGGGATTAATTAGTTTGTACGTGAATTATCTTCTCTTTTTTTTGCGGACGGCGGAAAGCATTCTGGAAAAATCAGAGGGAAGCAATACTTCAGCAGTTTCTAATTTATTTATTTTTGAAAACAAAATTATTTCCCTGGCACTTAATTTTAACATTTTAGAAGCTAGGTTTCTGGAATTCATAGCCGGATTACCTGGATCTGAAAAACCTTAGAATTTGAAATATATAAAATACTTGGATTTAGAGGGGGGGGAAAGTCAACATTTGGGTTGGGTTGGGTTGGGTTGGGTTGAGTTGGGGATAGTTCATCCCATTCCTTAAAACTGTTACCGACAGTAGAGATTTGACTGGGACAATACTATGGGTAGGATTAAAGGAATTGAACGGTGGTCTTAAGTTCACACAATTTTAAATATGCAAGGGAGGCAAGCTTGTTTTCTGCCCTTCTGAGGAGTCCAGCGAGATGTTGGTGGATCCAAGATTTGTTTCGATGCAAGAAAACGAAGCTATGCAAGAAAGCAACCAAACGGCAGAATGAAATGTAGAGAGGAGGAATGAGCACTAGGAAGGTCATGACAAAAACAAGGACAAGAGCGAGGATTTGCTCACAAACTAACATTTATTGGTAGGCTTCCATCTCTAGGTGAGGGACAACTTCCTAAGGGAGTTTAGCACTGCTGCTTGGGGTGGCAGCAGAAACACCCCTCCTTTCCAGATGGGCAGGTGGGATTCTGGCATGAACCTCCAGTTGATCCTGAGCAGGGAATTCCAGTTGTCCCCAGGCATTGAGGTCCAGTTGTCCCTGGGCATTGAGATCCAGAAGATCCTGGGCATTGAGGCCCAGACGAGGCACAACAAGTCGATGGCTCACATGGCTTTGAGCACCTTGAAGTACACCGGGGAGACACCGGTGGGACACATGGGGTCTGCTTGCACTGCTGTTGAGACATCTTCAGCTCAGGGACAACTGAAAAGATACAGAGTAAAGATGCATTTTTTGGGGTCACGTAGAAGAACCCAAATCTCTTCCGTGACTAGAGTTACAACCCAAACTTCTCGTTCTTCAGATTTGGAGCAATACATTTGATTGGGTTCACAGGCCACCGTTCTGGTTCATTTGTCAACCTGGTCACCCTAGCTTGTTCGGCAAATCACTGACAGATTTTCAGCTAAATTCGTGTGTGGAACAAACCCTGGTTCTTAAAGATCCGAGTTTCCCGGCTAAGTTCGTGCAATCTTCAAAACAAGGAGATGGAGATAGAAGAGCGAGAGAGTCAGAGAGGCAGAGAGAGGGGAAGAGGGGGAGGGGGAGAGAGAAAAACGGAGAGGGAGAGAAGAAGAGGGAGAGAGAGGAAAGGAGAGAAAAGAGAGAGGAAGAGAGAGAGGGGGGAAGGAAAAGGGAGAAAGGGGAGAGGGAGAGAGAGAGAAGGATAGATGAAGAGAGATTGTTGTGTGTTTTAACTACGATAATAAGAAGCAACATAAACTAAAATAGAACCAAAAATGAAGAAAGAGAGAGGGACAAATAAAAGGAAAAAGCTAAAATTGCAAAACAAAGTAAGAAGATAAACAGAGAAAAGGAAAAGTAGAAAATATACCAAGAAGTGATTTCCCATTTTCTTCAAAGCAGTTACAAGTACACGTATAGTTTAACCTCCCTCTCTCTCAGGTTATGCCATGACTCATTTCTTTCTCAACCTTCAAAAGAAGGACTCCAAAGTGGAGATCAAAGAGAATCACGTGGAGAGAGCAGGACTAGCTGTCCACCTTTTGAAATCACACCACCTTTCAGCTAATGAGCATTGCCATGATCTAAAATAACCAAACGGAGCTCCTAAGGACGATGTTGGGAAGGGCCATTCATTAAGTAAGAATATGAATGACCACATGCGAAATCTCGGCTTCTCATCTTGAGCCATGAATTGTGAAAGAGATCTGATTCTGATCAAGGCTGAGGAAGCTTTTTTCTTTTTTAACTGAGAACCACAACCAAATGTCTTCTCCTGCGCAGAAGAAGACATCAGCCTGAAGGAAGCTGAGCATTTCTTCTCCCCAGAAAATGAAGAGGTCTACCCCATCCTAGATAAAATCGCTGTTTTCCATAATTAACTTCCCACTAAAGGACCACCAAAATCCCATTCATTCAACGTTAGACATCACTCAAGCTTGAAAATATAATCACCACAAGTATATCTTGAGGAATGGGTACCTAAGCTGAGTTTGCACCTGCTTTCCAATAGATATGGTTGCAGACAACCTTTGCTAGATCGTTGCCTGGGCCAACTGACTATGGAAATTGTTGACCCTTGATGAAGAATTGGGCAAAGAGAAAGAGAGATGTCCCAAAGCAAATAGAATCAACTTACTCACAACTTGATGACAGACGGCGAAGCTAAAGGAAGGCTGAAAGCTTTGTCAGGTGTCCAAAGGAAAGATCTTATATAGCTCCCCTTGCCATAATTCATCAGGAGACATGGATGACAAGGTCTGTGTCTTTCAGGAAGATTGATAGAACGAGAAGCCACCCTGGTGGCATCCTGGGGCTTTCCGCTCCTAAATTTCCCTTTTTTTTTTCTCCAAAAGAAACATCCACCCTCATGGAGAACAACATGTCTCTCTTAATTAGGCTTTGATAGATAGCTGAGTGGTGGCTAATGAAGCATTCATGAGTTTGTCTTGGCTGATAGCCATCAACTTCAACAGGCATCATGTGGGGAGGAAGGCCAGAAGGAGAAAGTCCAGGCCATAAGGAGAAGGCCCAGCAGATTCTTCATTCCAGGATACAACCCTCTCCCCGAAATCTATGTATACATTCTTAGAGGGATTAGTTACCCACGTTAATTAAGTTGACCTCAACTGCAGGCAAAAGTTAAATTAAAGCCAACTTGGAAAAGAGACAAGATTGTCCATTGGGTTATGAAATGTTCCCCTACCGTGAATCTGCTACTTAAGGTGCCTTCTGTTGTAGGGGTTGTTGTTATTTTATTCTTCGTGGGACAAAGACCAAATAAAATGCTGATGTTCTTTAGATGCGTCAACTCTGATCATAAACTTAGCATTTATCCAAGTAATGTCACTGTTTTTTCCCTCTTTGTCTTCTTCTTCCTCCTCCTCCTCTTCATCACCTACTACTTCTTCTTCTTCTCCCAAACATTTCTGATATTTTGCCAAAGTATTTTCAGATCACTCTTTAACCGCTGCCCCCCTCTTCTTCCCCAAAAAATCTTGGTCAAGGAAGGACAGTCTTGCAGAAGGATATTTGGACCAACGTGTGAATTTCA